CATATTTTTCACAATTGGATCAATTATTTGATGAATCAAAGGGCAATCAGTAGAATTTTGGAATGCGGCGTGATGTCGCCAATGTTTGTATGAATTGAGTCGACTTCTTGGGGATTCGTTGTCGACTTGGAGATGACATATTGACATAATATAGCCCGAATTTCTCTCTAAAATCGAAACAACACAAAACTTATTATCACGAATGAATATTTTCAAACTAAAACTGTTCAACTGTACTTACGTTTATCCAATGTCCCATTCAAAATTATCAATTAAAGATCAAGCTGTTTGAGGATTAAATGCAAAATGGTTTAAATGAATTAATCTTTTCAAAATATTGAAAATAACTGTGGTCATTGATGGTCATAGAAAAAGCATGAAAGAATGGTGGATTTACAAAAAGATGTGTATACTAGTATATGCCTTGACGTTACAGAAATCGTCCAGAATTGCACTTAATACGTGTTCCAACTGGTCGTGAAAATACGCAATTCGTCCAGTATCTTCGAGTTCACCATTGTCAGACCATCCATTTTCGGTGATAAAAACTTCAGGATTGTTGTATTCCTTTTTGATCCACCTTTAATCAGAAAAGGAAGATAATATCACTCTTCAAATAGGTCATCATATGAATAATCAATCTCATTGTAACGAGCTCACCTTAAAATATCACCAAGACTTTCTGGAACCGAGTATAACCACATTGATTTTGCTTGTATCCATTCGGGTTTTATCTTTTCGTCGCACATTTTATCATGTTGGATTGAAGGATCTTTACCAGATGGATTAAGCGTTGTCTCAATATACCTGCTTGTGTAATAATTTAAGCCAAAGAAATCCGATGTTCTACGAATCTTTTTTATCCATTCTTCCGAAAATGTGGGTAGTCGTGACCATAAGCGTTGTTCTGTGTTACTATTGTTAGCGATTTGTGTGATCATAATTGGAGGATAGCCACTGTGGCCGTGTCATTTCTATAGGTGAGATCGAGAGTGGTGTATGTTACACTGATTTGGTTGTGAAAGAGAAGAGTAAGTTTCTTCCGACTTAAAAATGGTTAAAAGGGGAGTATGTTCATTTTTGGTGGGTCCTCGCGGTTTTTCACGGTTTCCGCGGAACTGATAAGAGATAACAACATGGTGTCTTCGGCAAAGTGAAAACAATTATCTCTTATCTCTTATCAGTTCCGCGAAAAACGCGAAAAATGATAAGAAAAAAAAAAGTTCTATATAAAATTTGCTTTTTCATGTGCGCGATTTGCGCGCAACTGATAAGAGATAAGAGATAACTGTCTTCAGTCAAGTAATAGAGGACCTCGAGTACTACAACTTTGCCCAAGACACCATGTTGTTATCTCTTATCAGTTGCGCAAAAACCGTGAAGACCGCGGAGGCTAGACGGTACTAGAACATACTCTCCTTTAATGCCAACAGAATCATCAGAAAACATACTCCTCTTTTTCTCAAAATAAGTCGACAAAAAATACTTACTCCACTCTCGATCTCACCCATAGATTTGTATCAGAATAATAAAAATAAGAGCTAAAAGCAACTCCAACTCGACCTTTGTACCGTTGATAATAATGATCTCTGTAGCGATGGTGACCTGGTTCGTTGACAGTAATCCAATATTTCACACGATCGCCAAAACGTTCGTACAATAAGTTGGCATATTCTTCAAAGTACTTTAATATGATCGAGCTTGTAAAACCGCCTAGTTGTTGCAATTTTTGCGGCAGATCGAAGTGTTGCATGGTTACCATTGGTTCTAATTCGTATTCAATGAGTTTATTGATCAATTTGTTGTAGTATTCGATGCCTTTTTCATTCACTTCCGTTATATCACCAGTTGGCAACACACGAGACCACGCAATGGAAAAACGATAAAAATCTAACTAAAACATACAACCATTGAGAGCTAGAGAATTCACAAATATTTTAAATTTTTTACATTTAAACTTTTTGCTGCTTCAATATCGTCCAAGTAATACTCATAAGAATTGGCAGCAACGTCTCCATTTTGATGGTCTGGATGCAAATGTGTGTATTCATCCCAAGTATATTTCCGACAAGAAGCGCAAAATTCTATTTTTACATATTCATGAAAAATAGAAAGAAATTTTATAAAAATGCTTACATTTGTCGACACCGAAAGATACATACAAACCGCGCCCGAAGCCGATAGTTATGTCTAGACAACGTAGACAACGATAAGAAAAGATAAAGTAACAAACAATGTTCAGCAGAGAGAAGATAAAGAAAAATACAAAATTCCGAACGCATTCTTGATTTCAAGTTTTAACGTTTCGTTTTTTTATCCAGCTTTTTATTTGTTTTGACGAAATACACTAGTTTCAAAAAATCTAACGTCAACAATGCATACTCTCACATACCGGGGCATATCAATATTTTCTTTTATATTTTGGTCTCACGCATGAAATTCTTCATGTTAGTTAATCGTACGCACGAAGGAACAAAAGATATACCTTTTTCGAATACCATCGCGTCTTTGTGTAACATTTATTAATTTTGATTTTAAAAATTTACTTAAATGCTGACAAAATTTAAAACAAAACAATAAAATTTCGACTCAATTCCATAGTGTAAACTACACTTGCTGTGATTTTTGCTGAGTGATCAAATTTTGTTAACACATTAAATAAAATATTCCAAGTTTTTTCATCAAAATGTCGATTGCACAAATTGTATTGTTTTTTCTATTGGCTATAATATAATATGTATAACAAATGCATTTCATTGGACGAGAGGTGTGTAGCAAAACGTCTAAAATTTTTGTATGTAACTCGCGTTTGTTGCTACCTAACATTGTATATTTTTGTTTTCGATTTTTTATAGACCGATTCGCTTTATATGGACGAACTTGCGAGACTGTGAAATGCTCACCATATGAGCTATGCGTACTAGCCGAAGATGAATGTTTGTATTCTCAAACTCGACAAATCAGTTGTGGAACATATCCAATATGTGGAAAATTGTCCCTAACAGATGATTGTCCATGTAAGAGAATTGCAAAAACAAATTGTGTTTATTATAAATTCTCTTCTCTAATAAATACGATTATTATAAATTCTCTCTATTCAGTTATGACAGATCCATTCTGGGAGTTAAATGGGAAATATTCGGTAGAATTAAGGATAGCATGCCATCATCTAGCAGAGTACTTACAAAATTCTAAAAACAATGAATCAGGAGAAGAAAATGCCGCGTCAACACATAATATATTTTCACACTCTTTAATAATCATCATTATTACTAGTATTCGTAATTTATGGATTGTATTTACATAGTAACATAATACAATTATCAATGAGAATTGGATTATGGTGTTGGTTTTAATTGTGCTTAGTTTTCGTTAGTTGTGACCATTTTTGTAATGTCTTTTTCTTATTTAAAATGCTGAATCAAATTTTTCAACAATATTCGTTCAACATTAAGTGTTATTTGGCATTCTTTGATTGATCATAAACCAAACAATTACTGCATTTTTTTAAACAAAAATGAATTTTTCAAACGTATTGGTCTTTTATTTAACCACATTCGTTTTAACTCAGGAATATGAAAAAATAAAAAAAAAATATAAAAGACAAGTCAGTGAGGCCACAATGTCACCAAAGGCCATAGTGCCTATGCCAGTGGAAGAGTTGCAGAACAAATTTTTGTCGAACACAAAACTAGAATTAGCAATATATATTGATGGATACTATGCAAGGATTAGTGTGCAAATTACAAAAATGTACACAAAACCATCCGAACCTGAAATTAAAGGTGAGAGAATCATAATTATATAGCACAATAAAGATTTTTTTGTGTTTGCAATCTATTTAAAGAAGTTGTAAAATAAATAACAATACGAAAACACGCTGATTGAATGCTGGCTAATGTTGGTATTTTTTCAGGAAATTTCAACAGCCGCAAATATTCCACCAGTTCAGAGTGGTAGTATTGAATGAGTTGCTCTCGATGTTCTTATAGTTTTGTCAGTATTCGGAAAAAGCTTCATTAAACTCATTATTCATTTAGAATATATTAGTTTTCTTGTAGTATTTCTCATTAAATTACAACGAAATTTCCATTGAAAATTTAGATTTTTATTCTTCGGTATTTGAGTAGTCATTTAATGGGTGCATCAGAAAAATACAGATTATAGAACATTATCAAAACAGAGTTTTGCGAAGTTTCTCATTCTCTTCAAGAAGATATTTGCATTTTTTCTCTAGAGCCTTCTTTTCCAGACCATTTCCTGAATAATGATGAACAATTTCAAAAATATTAATCAATTCATTCACAGTATGAAAAAAATAATAAAAATTAGAACCAAAAAATACCTTTTGACAACGCATCCAGCGTTTTCTTGAGCTTTGCATTTTCCTTCTTTACTTGATTCAATTCTGCCACTTTTTCTAAAAGGGATAAAATAATTCGAGTAATTTGATATGTTATTTGAATTACTACACACCTTTTAATTGATCATTTAATTCCTTTTTGATATCAGCCTTGATCCGCTTTTCTTTTTTTAATTCTTCCTTCAAATCGTTGTGCCTTTCAATTAGTGATTTACGGATCTTTTTTCTATTTGGAGTGCATTTATCACTCTTTTTATTCAATGCTTCAGATGTTCCACTAGAAATGGATGATTGTTGTAGATTTATAGTGATTCCGGAGGATGGCAAATAAGACTGCTTAGCTTGTGATGTTGAAGCAACTGCCGATGTCCAAGCAGACTTTGACCAGAGAGGAGGATCTCTGCTTGAAACAACCTCCTTATCACCGAACATGTTGTGTACTTCTGCAAATTTTCATTGATTTTAGTTGAATTGAAAAAATCGATTACTGAAAATTACTTACTTATTTTTCAAATAAAATGACTTCAGAATTAATTTTTTTTCACGTATTCGTACTATACTATAAAATGATTCAACGAATTCAACCAGAACATTCGCACTATCGGCTTGAAGTGCATGAATACTGCATATATCGGACCATTAAGATCACTCATACAATAATACTTGAGAATATGTCAAGTTCATTGAGAAGTTAACAAATCCATCGATATGCAATAAAATGTGTGAACGTTCTATCTATTGCCTTCTATAGTATATCAATACCAATGCATTTGATTTAATCTTATCACGTTCGTACACAAGTGACGGCGTAATTATTTTAATAAAAATCGATATTTCAACGTATGAATTGTACACTTTAATTTATCACTAAGCAAAAACGCCACTGTTTAAACCAACGTTCATATTACGTTTGCATTGCAACTTTCAATGAATATTATACGTCAATGCATCTAAATATATCCACGTATACATGCACTCCATGAAGTATAGACAAAATTAAATGATAATCCAATTCCTGTTTTTCTATCAGAACTTTACAGTATATTTCCTTTCTGGTTTCTGATTGCTCTTACCAGTTAGTTGGTTAGTGATTGCCAGCGAGCGCATTCTTTTTTTTGCAAAATTAATCGAATCTTGACAACCTACATTTGTTTGCATATTAATAAAGAATGAAGTCGCGTATCATCAATGTGAATTTCATTTAAGTCAGGTTTAAAATGGAAAAAAACAATATTCAATTGCTAGAAGATTAACATGTTTTTTTTTTGTATCTGATATCTATTATAAAGTCAACATTAAAGAAAAAAATATCAAATTGCTCTTAGAAGTCAAAATATCCTCTTCTATCAAACAAGTCCAGTAAGTATTTTACTTGTTCTATGCACTCCGGATGTGAAAATAGTTTGTCACTCGTATTTCCATCTTTTTGGTCGCCATTTACTACATCAAGAAAGCCACCATCGTGGAATTTATTCACAAAACGTAGTGCAACGATGAACAGGATTATCAGAGTGGTGAATAAATCGATGCGATAGCAATCCGATTGAA